GACCGGTGCGGGACGCTTGACGTTCACTGACTGCTGTGGCGCTCCTCCACTCGTTGAGCCCGGCACGACGACCACCTCGTTGTCTTGTTGCGCGTCTTGTGTTGAAGAACCCGGTGCGAGGGTACTCGTGTCGGGAGAACCACCCGCATCGGGAGCAGATGCGGCCGAACCACCGCTCGGGTCACTCATGCTCAGCTGCCACTATCTCCCCTGCTGCGGGCCACTACCTCAATGCCCGAGTACCTGAGTACGCGAGCGCGCGAGTATCGGAGCCTGGAGCCCACCACTCCGTGCGGCGAGACTGTCTACTTTTTGCTGAATAGTGACGTCACCAACACACCCTTTGGTGGAAGGTAGTACTAGTACGTACTCTGACGTTGAGTAGTACGTACTCTGAGTTGAGTATGGCGAGCTGTACTATGGCCTGAGTAGAGTATGGGCAGCCATACTAAACGCAACAGTATGTTTAGTAGAGTATGAGAAGCTATACTAAAGTGAAAGTATAGTACAGTATAGGAAGCCATACTAAACCCAAAGAGTATGTTTAGTAGAGTATGAAAAGCTGTACTAAACCGCATGAGTATGTTGAGTAGAGTATGAAGAGCCATACTAAAATGTGAGTATGAGTAGAGTATGAAAAGCCGTACTATACTCAAAAAATGTTTAGTAGAGTATTGAAGAGCCGTACTTACAAAAGGTTTAGTTAGTACGAAGAGCTGTACTAAACGCCACAGTATTCTTAGTAGAGTATGAAAAGCTGTACTAAAGTGTGAGTATTACTCTACTGGGCGAAAAGAGCCAGATACTTACTCAATACTCGGGTCAGTACTAATAGTACATACTATACTAAACATTCCCGTGAATAAATAGCCTCGAAAAATCAACACATGAGAACTTGAGCACCAACCGTGAGCTCGGTCAAGAACCCCTACATTAAAACCTATATAGCGGCCATTGGTAGCATAATCCAGGACCGAAGAACCCCAGCCTCGGTCTAAGCTAGAGGTTCGTAAGTGCGGGCGCTATGTAGCTGAATGCACCCGGCTACAAAACAACGCTGCTTGCATCACCTGGTTGATGTCCGAAGGATTGATGGGAGCGAACAGCATCTTCACGGCCACTTCTCTCGGACCCAACTCGCTGACATCATCGTCGGCTTCCAGCCTGCCCCAAGCCATTTCCAAAACCAAAAATACATTTTTCAGTTTGGGTGGCGAGTGCTGCGACTCGAGTACAACACGTTCGACAGAGATCGTCGTTGTCTTTCGAGATTGGTAGGTGAGATGAAGACCAACATCACTCACGATGCGAAACAATGGGACCGTTAAATAAAAAATTAGCAGGTGCTGCACGATATACCTCAACAATCGCTCTTGTCTCTGCTTAGCTTCAAACATCCGCATACGAACAACACCTAGTGCCAGACTGGACCTTGACTCATCAGAAAAAACAAACAAGAATAATAGAGTTCAAGAAGCGTTCCTCCTACCAGTCCTGGACGCCAATAGCCTCATATACTGCCGTCTTGAAGAGGCGGCTGTTTGTTTTGGTCTTTCGCAGATATCGCCCCTGGTATCTCGACGAAGACAGACGTTATGAACAAAAAATTCGATGCTGTGGACACCACAGACAGCCAATGTGCCCGAGTGCCATCTCGAGCGAAACATGAGTCTTGTCATTCTTTGCTGGTTCTGGGGCGAAACCTGATCGAGGGCAGAGAGCTTGGAATGATTTCGGTCTGATGCCCCCAACACAAGCATCCGAAGCACGGCCACGAGGTCATAGTCCCTTGTGGCAGAAGCATGACACCGCGACGGCAACGGTGTTTCTGTGTGGCCATTGTGCGCCTGCCTACGTGCCCACCTACTGCAGCAGCAGTGTGATGGTGCAAGACGTGCCTTTCATGTGCTTGTGGCTAGGCTATGTCTAGAGTGGGTTCAGCGCCTCTGCCTGGTCGTACAGGAGGTCCTTCAGAAATATCCTGAGAGCAAAAGGTTCTTTCAGAAGCAAACACCTTCAGAACAGGGATCATTAAATTGTCGACGCTGTCGGCGCTGCCCCTAAAATAATGGCTGTCAGTGCGCCAATGAAGCACTACCGTTAGCCCATTAATTTTCCCTCCGGCGGCCAGGGGGGCAAAGGGCGCCTGCGGCGGCCGAATGTGCCGGAGGTACGTATTTTCCAAGGGTGTGTTGGGTAGGTTACGGGTACGTTGGGTATGAGTACGGGTACTGTACCCAACGTACCTAGAATATAGGTACGGGTACGGGTCCTGTACCCAACGTACCCAGAGTTTGGGTACGGGTACGGGAGTCGTACCCAACGTACCCAAATTTGGGGACGGGTACGAGAGTCGTACCCAATGTACCCAGGTAACCCGGGTAGATGATGCGTGGGTATGGGTATTTTGGGTATGGGTACGGGTGTGGTGCCCATATTTTGGGTACGTTGGGTACGGGTACGAGAGGTCGTACCCAACGTACCCAGAATTTGGGCACGGGTACGAGAGTCATACCCAACGTACCCAAACGTTGGGTACGGGTACATACCCGACAAATACCCACATTTTACCCGGGTATGTACCGTACCCAACATACCCTTGGTATTTTCCTTCGGAAATGTTACTCTTTCCTAGCATGCACACAACGAAAATCTTCTGAAACTGGGCCTTGCGCGAAGTATTTCTGGGGAACAACGCGGGACTGTCAGAATCGTCCGTTTCTTTTTCTAAATCTAAAAACTATGCATACAGAAGTGCAATATTTCTGAAAACTCTCCAGTCCAAAGATGCTGTCTGTTGCCCCAAGAGAATATAATTACGACAGCAGCAGGCCAGGCTGGTACTCTGGACTGTTAAGTCTACGAAGGTGCTCCTTCACGCGGTCTCTGTACCAAAAATTGGCTTGGAGCCTGCAAGTCGCCCCGCACTTGCGATACTTCACGTTCTCTTCTGCTACAACCAGCGAACCGTCGAAGATATTACATACCAGGTGCTCACTACGGATGAACCGCTGAAGGTTAGCTCTCTTGCAAGTGCAGCAAGCATTCCTTCTCTATTGCTGTGCATGTTGTGGCAGGTGGAATCCATACTTGACGGGATTAGACCGGAAACTGCTGTTGTTGTGTCGACTTACCTCAAAACATCCGCAGGATCTCCCCTCTGGTGGTATCGCACCGTAGCGAAAGCTCTGTAGAGCACCCCACCAGGTCGAAAAGCTCGAATACATCGCACAAGCATGGCTCCCCTATTGCTCTCTCCCACACATGATGCGCCGGATCACACAACAGAGTGCTGCACACACCAACCAACACACTGACACACTTTGACGGGGGTCCCGTGGCCCGGAGAAGCGGGGGGGCTGCGGATTACCGTTCCGTGGATGCACACGTCGCCACGCTGGCTCTCTCACCTCCTCCGCATTGATTATTCTGTGTATCTGAATATGTAGTCCATGGGCGTTCGACTACTGATGATGCCCATGAACTCGGAAAACACCGAGAAGGCCGAGGAATTGGACTTGCAGTTGTTCCCGGTCTCACTACTATAACCACGATTCGGTCTACAGAGGGCGACCGTTTGCATTGGCCAAGGGTCCTGTTCTTATTTTCAAAGTTCTTATTTCGAGCAGGCATATCCTCATGATACACGGTGTACTTGTTCTTATTCCTACACTACGCCGAGGGCCCCATTCGAAGGTCGTTTTTTTTTCAGGGTGGATTCAGGTGACACTTGAGAGCAGTGTGTTCACAAAAACAGATTATAATTCTAGAACGTCGCTCAACAGAGACCTCTGGAATCGACATACCGCAGATCACGATAGGGTAGAGTTAAGGCTACCCGGGCAACCTCCTGCTATGTTGCCTAATTTCGAAAACAAACGCAAGAGCGCCAGAAAATGCACTAGAGACACATAAGACCAGTCGGAAGGCATCGCGAAAAAAACAAGTCCAAAATTCTGGCACAGGGCAGCGTAGGGACCGCTCAAAACGTGCTATTCGCGCGTCTACCTCCACAAGCATCCTTTGAAACCAAGATAAAAATCCACACCAGTCTAAATTCAAGTCAAAAGAGCCCAAACGGAAGGCGCTCAAATAAGGCCGGTGTTGCTAGGAACCTGGTCCATTGTACCAATATCACTAGAGGACACCCTATAGCAGCGGGGGGGAGTGTTGGCGCGCTCAAAACTTCTTCTGTGGTGGTGGTATCGAGTGTCGTTGTAGTGGCCCACAATCTCCGCAAATCTCCGCAAGTTAGATCGACACCCAGTGTCTTGTACTGCTTGTGCTCGCCGCCACTGAACCCAATCTTCTGAACTGCAGGTTTACAGCAGTAGCTGATGCCACCAGCTACTGCTGACAACCCGCAGTTGAGGGGTTTGCGGTCCGTGGTGGTGAGCACCGCTGTGACAAGTGTTGGGTTCCGCTTGGTTCCGGCGCAGATTTCGGACCGTTTTCAGAGGCTGCTGCGACCTTCGATATTTCAGCCCCAGTAGTATACCTGAACGTGCCAGCACGCACGACGCCTCTTGATGATATCCTCTACTGATACTAGCACAACGGACCAGGTTCCTCCGGCGGGAAGGTTGTTTTCTTTCTTTGTGCTGTTATAAAGTATTAGAAAAGAGCCAGCGTCAAAATCCCTTGTCTGGGTACCCTTAAATACAGACGCGGTATCACCTGAAGAAATGACGCATCTGAGCAAACATGTTGAACCATTTAGAGGTCCACAAGGGTCACGTTCGGCGTGATTGCCCTCCCTGCTCTATCTAACGCCCGTCGTAGCTACATTACGACCTTCACTGCTCTTCGAATGCCGGACCTCCTCCCTGCTCTACGGCGCGCTCCCCTCAAGGAAAGCCCACCACCCTACCACCGCACCCGCATCTTCACTGTGCGTGTCCAACGGCATTCATGCGGCGCGTCTTTGGTCTACATGTAGTCTAGCTCGAAATGCACAGGGTAGCCGTAAAGAAAGGTGGCGGGTACGCTCCTGAGACGGCCGAGTGATCAGCTCACCAAATCAGCCCATGCTCAGTGTTACGAGTACTCCACATGCAGCAACGATCTGTCAAGAGCAGCGGGTTTAGACGCCTGAATTCGAAAACTGGTGGGTGCGACGAAGGATGAGGTGTCGGAAAGCTTTCGTCGCCCCCGCGCCGAATAGATGGCTCCCAGTCTGATTTCGTGGGCAGTTGCCAGAAATGACATGTTCTTTTACGGCCTGTAAGGGTCGATGAAGAATTATACCTCCTTTCAACTTTGACAGTTGGCCGAGCTCTTTCAATATTTCAAGGAGTTCAGACATGGCTCTCGTGCATGGTACGCAGCGTGGCAGGCACCCCTATGACATGCGACGAAGGGAATGCCTTGTACAACAAGCTAAGCATCTACCCCCCCCCCCCCCCCCCCCCCCCCCCCCCCCCCCCCCCCCCCCCCCNTGCGAACACCGGGTTCATGAAGTTGCAGAATGTCTGTTGTACAAGAGAGGAGATTTTGCGTGGCTGAACCTTGGGAAAAGTAGACTAATAGAGTCTAAGGAAGATAAAGGGAGCTGTTTGAGGCATGTAAAACCAGCTAGGTGTACTTGGGCATAGAACGTGGGTTGAAGAGGCGGGACGTGGTATCGATAGGATAGATAGGCTCGGGGAAATCGTTCTGAGACACCTTTTTTTGGTGAAGTAGGAGGGAACGATTGGCCATCGGTCTTTTGTCCTGTGGGAACAATATTCCATCCTCTCGAGGACGCGTGGTCAATGGTCTAACCACTGAGAAATGCAAAACATACGAGTACGCCCCCCCCCCCCCCCCCCCCCCCCCCCCCCCCCCCCCCCCCCCCCCCCCCCCCCCCCCCCCCCNATGAGTCACCCCTCAACACCTTCATGAGTTATTATCTTGCAGCTGCCACTTTTTGGGGGGTCTGTTTTTATCCGAAGGCGCTTTGTTACTCCACAATTACGGGTTCGTTTTCTTGATACCACGTCGGAACTGACCACGTGTTCTTATGGCCAAGTTCTTAAATTTTGAGTTTTCGAGGCTGAATTTAATTACTGCTAAGTTCTTATGTGTGAGCGCCATCTGTACACCGCAACCCAGGATTCGGTCACAGACTCGGCCTCCAAAGGTCATACAGTATGCGTATACATAGACTTCATAGAGAGTGGGCACATGAATCGGCAGGGCTTTTCCGATGGAGGAGTAGTGTGGTAGGCCACCAGAAGGAGCGGGCAACCATTAATAAATGGGCAAAATTGTGTACTCTGTATCCCCACAAAGCGGAGACGGAGCAGGCACAAATCTTAGTGGCTCGACTCAACGCTTTGAATTCAATTCGCAAAAATACCTGTAGGCTTACCCTGACAAAAAAAATAACGTGTTCCTAACCTGAGACCCTGATGTGGGTAAAGCTTGAGAATGGGCGGTGACATTGAAACGTCGTTGCGACGTTGAAGGCTTGAACGGCGACCGTGTGAACAGCGAAACAACGAGATCCCTTCAAATTCGATCTGTGGTGTACAATAGTATGGTAGGAGTTTCGCAAGGCATCTTCAAATACATTGCACGTCGCGAGATCCCCTGTAGAACGAAAGTACACAAGAGGCACGAGACACTTGAGATACCCACTTGACACCCACCACGTTCTTCGCGTACACGTCACTGCCGGTGGTGGCACGGAATAGAAACCGGCGACTAAAAAATGTGCTTCGCTGACAATGCGGTCTTGATAGGCTGAAGATGTATCGCTAAGCTCGTGTGGGGCTGATCAACGGTATCTATGAATGTTTCCGTATCGTTCTGTGCGGAAACTATGTGGTACGTTGGGGATGGAGTCCGTAGAGATGTGGCGGGCCATACTTGCGCGTTATCGAGTTCATGCATTTGTGCCCGTGATGACAAGGAAGCGCATTCAATCAATCAAGCGTGCACGGACCATGACGATTCTCGGGATGAGGACGAGATCGACGTGAAGGAAACTTACCGAAAGCCGAGGAAATGTTCTATACTTATCAAGATTATGACGAAGAAGCAGCTGGAAGCAGGTGTGAAGACAAAGGTTGTTGCCACGCCTCCAGAGATTTCGCTACGCACGAGGCATGCCGTTTGAAAAAAGAACGCATCGCGTGACAGCGGCGACACGGTGCAGGGTTCCTGCAAAGTATGCAAAACAAATCACAAGCAAACAGATAGCCGAAAAAATTTAGAGGAGCTGTTGCCGCACTGTGTTCATTCAAAAGCTGACACTGCTGGTGGTGAATGTGTTTTCCTGACGGCAAAGTCGCCAACCGAGAGCAAACGCGTCAACACATGGTTCAAAGATAGAGGTCTCCAGGAAGAGAGCAATCCACAGAAAGTAGCACAAACACAACTCGTTTAGTGCATGGATGGACAGCCAACTCCGTTGATCGAAACACGTTCTCGCTCCATCTACTGTTGGTGCTTGTGCTTGCGCTCCTCCTATTCACAGTCGTGAGTGTATGCGTGTTGATGTAGTTTGATCTATCCATTCAACTCTCTGCGGCCTTACCCGGAACTTACTGTAGGTCTCAGAGAAAACTCCGGTATTGAACAAATTGCAGTCTTGTACACTGCTTGTGAGGAAGGGCAATTGACGGGAAGAACAACCACGGGTCTCCTGCACGCACACTAACATGAACGCTGCTGCGCTCAGTCTGCTCCCGCAATTCCTGTGCAAGCTAGATAGGCGCGCGAAACACCTCAACGTTGACATGATCACTACCTGGTGAATGTAGGAATGTTTGCAAGTATCCCGCTGCTGCAACCGTGTCCTGATGGACAAACCCGTGAGGTGTGTTGCGTAATTACCCATCAAACATATATTTCTGCTACCTCGAGCAAACTCGTGCGAGGTATTGCTGATATCAAAGACTGCTGCAGCTGTTGGAGGTGCCCATAGCGCGGATGTCGGGGGCGTTGGCGATGCTGCCACGGATGCTTGCTCATGAAGATTGCGGAGAGAGCGACACATTCAGTTCCTGCTACGGGCAGGTTCATAGCGGGTGGAAGGGATCGATGAACACCTGTAGGTGTAGTTCCCACGGTTTTACGTCGTCGAGAGGTGTTCTCATCAGCCGTGTCTTGATGATGCAAACGTGAGAAATGGATCGTCTAAACCCCAAAAGGGCAAGAAAACCATGGCACCCTATTAATCACAGGACATGCCTGCATAGAGTCTTCGCCATCATTGGCGTGCCTTAAGGCCTCCCGCTCTCTGCGTTTGATCCGCCATGAGAGGCCCTCCACGTCAAGTCCAGTGGTTTCCTTGAGCAGCAAGTCGACCCTACAT